TAATGTTACCAAGTTGGTAACCATATTTAATAAGTATTTAAGAATGAGATAGAGATAGTTAAATCATTCCTGAAAAATTGAATTTGCCAGTGTATAAAAAGGACAGTAAGAACATATGGACTCAGAAAGACTGATTTCATTTTCTTTTACATTTTTGTGGCTAGTTAAAAAAAACCCAGTTCTCTGCATTAATCTATTTTTATTTCTTATCTGTAAGGCATTTTATAACTATTAGAAAGAGCTCAAAAGCATTCTATTTCAATAAAATTTTGACAATAATATAATATGAAAATGAACTGCCAAGGGCAAATCAGTAGATCTGTAACTATTAAGGGGAAAGCACTATTAAGTTTATAGCTGGAATTTCATTTACTTAAAAAAAAAAGTCATGTTTATGCTTCACCAGACAGGGCTTTTCCCAAGTCATATTGGCAAGTAATTATCTTTTCAGGTCTAAATACAACTCTAAACTAGTTATCTGTTAAATCAATACAAGGAAACACCTTTGTGTTATCTGGCTTCAGTGCTATTTTTAAAAGCTGCTAAATACAGTTAAGAATTCACTTTTGAAACAGTTATCTCCAGAACTTTTTCAGGCATCTGAACTGAATGTTTAAAAAAAAAATTCATTAGCATACCACTGTATTTTTAACTTAAACATTCTTAAAGTCCGTTCCAAAGAATGTGAAAAATGCCATCTACTTTGGCTTTCCTAACAATGCTTTAAAAAAAAAAAAAAATCTCTCTTAAGAATTCTATGGGAATTGCCAGGTGCTGGAGGCTCACGCCTGTAATCCTAGCTACTCAGGAGGCAGACATCAGAAGGACTGCAATTCAAAGCTCCAGGCAAATATTCTGACAGACCCTCTATCTTAAAAAAAAATCACAAAAAGGGTTGGTGGAGTGTCTCAAGGTGTAGGCCTGAGTTCAAACCCCAGTACAGGAAAAAAAAAAAAAATCTATGGGGAAAAAAAAAAGGAAGAAATACAAGATGCAGAAGACAAGAACTTAAAGTTTTAGACAACAGTTCATCAACTTTTAGGGAAACGAAAGGAAAAACGGAGAATACAGGTAAGTTAAGGAAACAAAATATAATAAAAGGAATGAGTGTAGAGTTACAGAGAAGAAGCTGAGAAAAATTGTACTTGTATAGGACTAATAATAGCATTAAAAATAACAAGCAGTAGAAGTGATAATGGAGATAAGTAAGCCACTGACGTGAAGATAAACTTTAAAAAAGAAATCACGCTTAATATAGAGAGAACATATCTACAGATAAACATGAGTGGAGAGAAAACAGGAAGTATTGATAAAGGAGAGTAATGTAAGTAATTGGTGTTCTAAAAGTAATGAAATGAAAAAATTATGATAAAAGAAACTTTCTTGAAATAGAGAGAGAACCAAAATTGCAGATGAAAAAGGCTCACTGTGTTTCAGGGGCAAAGATCTGCAGAAAATAATCAAGCTCAAGATATATTCCGCTGAAATAACAGACAAGAAAAGAACTGCCAGCTTCTGGTACAGCAAACGTCACCTATGAGGGGAGCACACCAGGCAGGCTTTTCGGTTCTCTCCAGCAATATTCAAGGGAGAAAATAAATGTCTGTAGGTTTTCTATGGAGAGGAGAATGTCTGGCACAATCAAAATGGTCCTTCTTATTCAGAGGCAAAAGAAACAAATCTGAAATGTGCCTATATTGTCCCAGGTGCTGAAATAAAGCAGTGAAGACAGAAGGGCACTGCTGTCATGGATCTTACTTTCTGCGGGGAGGGATACAGAGAGTCAAAGAAAGACAAAAGCAGCAAGTAGTCATGTCTTATGCAAAAACCCAAATAACAAGGTTTAGGTAGCTACTTTAAATTGGCCTGTTTGCAGACATGACATTTAAAATGAGATGTGAATGACCAGGAGCCTTCTAGCAAAAAAAAAAAAACCAAAAGCACTTCAGGCAGATTAAAGAATAAACTAGCTCTCTATTCTCAGCCTAAATTTAATCTCAAATTGTTTAAACAGAAAGAAAGCAAAGGCAGAGCTGGAAGATGAGCTCAGAAAAGTGGCAGCCAAACTGCATAGTATTTTATGAGCAAGGTTGAACGACTCAAGTGTTTATTATTTTTAAATTAAGAAACTGTGTTCGAGCCCGGCACAAGTGGCTCATGCCTGTTATCCTAGGAGGCAGAGATTAGGAGGATCACAGTCTGAAGCCAACCTGGGCAAACAGTTCGCGAGACCCTATCTTGAAAATACCCATCCCCAAAAGGGCTGGTAGAGTGGCTCAAGGTGAAGACCCTGAGTTCAAGCCCCAGTACTGCAAAAATAAATAAATAAATAAATAAGAATGAAGGATACAAGTCACAAAGAGAGAGAGACTGAGGCCAGTGGCCAGTACCTGAGGCTAGCACATTACAGTTATTCCTTTACTCTGTCTCACCCAGTGGAATTCAAGCCCCATGAGAACAAAGTCTTCGTGCCTTGCTGTTCTCTTCTCCATTCCTACCCTCTAGAACAGAGCCTGAAAATCTTAAGTACTCAATCAGTATTTGTTAATGAATAAATGAAGATATAACCTTCAACTTTTATGAGTCAATTGACAAAACATGAAATACATTAAGCAAGAAGTGCCACAAACAGAAGAAACACAACAGAACCACTACAGTAGAAGATGATCGGTACTTCAGTTTTTAATGATTAATGTGCAAACACTGGAAACACTGTATTAAAATTTGAAAGCTTAGGACCAAAATCATCATTTTTAGAAATACACACGTATGATTGCAGTTATTTAAAAAAATAAGATTTGAAAACTATCAGAAACATTATGAACTCTGTAAGACTGCCAGAGATAAAATATACCTGGCAAAATCAATGATTTACATACATTTTAACAGTAATCAACTAGAAAGTGCCAGAGATTGAAAAGATCTCATTTTAGGCCAGGCATGGTGGTGCACCACTGCTGTTCCATCTACCACGAGGCTGAGCAAGAAAACTGGCTTGAACCCAGGAGTTTGGGGCCATTCCAGGCAACACAGATTCTATCTAAAAAAAAAATCATCTAAATTAATCTCATAAGCATCTTTTTTTTTCTCCTTGATAAAAAATGATTTAATATTTTACTGGAAAAGACAGAAACATCAGAAAAGTATATGCAATGAAAAGTTACATTAATCACAGACAGGATAATATTGAACTAGGAATTGGGAGGGGAAAAAATAATCATTAGAACAGGACACAAAACTCATACTTCCATGGAAATTCAGTTTATGACAACCAAGATTATTTCACACCGATAAGACAGAATTTGTAGTAATGGCTTTGAGAAACTGTCTAGTTATTTGAAAAAGAATAGAATCCTTACTCCTTAAAACAAACCATTCTTGTTTAAGCACCGTGCGCTAACCGATTGCGCCACTGGAGCCACTAGAACAAACCATTCTTGATGGAGGAAACATTTAGGATTAGGAGGTAACAACACGAAGAAATTATGCTTAAAATATGTTTTTATAATTATTTAGTAGAAAAGGCTAAGTATGGGAAAGAAGAGAACAGAGAAAGGAAAATTTATCTAAATGCTTCCACACAGACAAGACAAATATCATTAGCAGAGTGTAAAGACAGATGACAAAGTGGGGAAGTGTTAAACATAAGAGTCACTGTTTTCAAAGCGCAAGCAGTATCTAAACAAACAACCACACACACAAACAACCTTACAGAATTGGGCAAGTAGAAGACAGGCAATCAAAACAATATAAAATGGCCAAATAGTAATCAACATTTACTGAACTTGTAAGTTTTCTTTTGGGGGAAAGAGTTTAAATATTACTCAGTCTATATATATGAATGAATGCTTATATGAAATCAGTAGATCTTACAAAACAAGAAAGTGAGAAATTAAAGCCTTTCAAAGGGTCATAATCTATGATATAAGAATTTAATCCTCATATGTTAAGTAATAACATCATACATGATATATATTTCCTTCTTTTTTGGGGGGCAGTAATTGGATTTGAACTCAGGGCCTAGTTCTTGATAGGTAGGTGCTCAACCACCTGAGCCATACCCCCAGCCCTTGTTTTGCTTTTTTCTTATTGAATTGCCTTCCTATGTTAGTTCTAATATATGGTTCATTGAGAAGTCAGACTTGTGGAATTTTAAGATATATTATATACTTAGCAAAAGAATTTAAAGCAGTATTATAACAATTTGTCTCAGGAAAAAAAGGGTATTGTGTCATATTTGAAAGCTTGATTTTAAAGTGTTCCTGTATATACTACCTTGGTGATATCATCTCTTTCATGAATCATACATATAATGGTCCAAACTTTGTATTTGAAATACCAACCATTTTAACTGCTCAAACTGAGAAAGACAATTACTCAAAATGTCTTAGTTTATGAACCAGCAAATGAACAGATGCCCATATATTCACCTACCTATTCAAAAATTACTACTGTTCTTATTAGAAAAAGTCATCCAATTATTTCAGATTTTATACAATTTTGTTTTCAAGGCAAGTTACTCAGTGTGTTTTTAAAGCTTTCTGATATAAAAGTGTTAATAAAATAAGCACTAAGCTAAGATCAGAATTATTAAAACTAAATCAGATAGGGAACAGGTAACATACAAACTATCATTATGTTGAATATTATCTGAATATCCTTTAAAAAATTGTTCATTACTTTTCTAATCAAATTTTCATAATACCTAAAATAGTAGTTAAAACAGTCCCTATAAACATAAAAGAAATTTACTTTAACATTGTTTCCAATTTTTGAACATGTACATTTCAAATTGTATTTAGTAACAAAACTGTCCTTCATAGCATATTTGCCTTTGACTACTTCCAATGGACTATACTGAAAAAATTCTACTGTCCTGACAGAACATGTAATAAAGACTTCTTATTGGAAGAACAGAAATAAGGAAGTAAATATGGAATATATTTTTAAATCCTATATTTAGTATACAAGAACACTGTTCAAAATTGTCTTATGGATTTTAATGCATACCAGGCTAGGTTTGATCCCTAGCACCACAAACAAAACAAAACAAAACAAAACAACATAACATACCAGGCTCCAACTTGATGATTTTTACTGCAGCTAATTCTCCTGTATGCACATTTCTGGCCTAAAAATGGAAAAAAAATTAAGTTTGTTAATTACATAACTACTACTTGCAATATGTTAATTATTTATCAACCCTGCTTTTAAAAAAACAAAATTAAAAACTTTTATTTCTGATGAAATGAGTATACTCACTTTCCCACTGAAGAAAAATATATGAAACACAAAAGTTCCACCACTCAAAAACAGCTATTTTCCATAAATTGGGCATATTTCCTACATGTCTTTTTTTTATATTCGGGTTAATTTTCTCAATTAAAAAAAGAAAAAACTTATACTAGACAGAAGAAATAAGCTAAGCTCTGGTGTTTTATTGGATCATAGAGTGAATATAGATAATTATGTATTGTATGTTTCACAGAAAGCTAGATATTCTTTTCACAAAGAAATGACAAACATTTGAGATATGCTTACCCTGACTTGAACATTACACAACATACACATGTATCAAAATATCACATTATCTGATAAATATGAACAATTATCTGTCAATTAAAAATAAATTAACTGAACGTGGTGGCACAAACCTGTAGTCCCAGCTACTTGGGGATCTGAGGTGGGAGGGTCACTTCAGCCCATGAGTTTGAGACCAGCCTGGGCAACATAGCAAGACCCCACTTTAATGAATGAGTAAATAAATAAAATTTCCATACAAACACAAAACCAGAGACCTCATGGCTTTAATTTATATCAAAAACCTAATCATAGGTCATCAAAGGAATAAAATCTAAATCATTTGCATCTAAGTATCCAGAGATAAACAGCCTTTCAGCACATATGCCCCCAACATGTGCATGTGCCTGTGTGAAAGTGAGCCCAAGTGTGTGCAGCGTTGGAGGGACAAGCCCCTTACTATTTCTACAACATGATTTACAATGCTGCCTCATTTTCTACTGACAGGATATATAGTTTAACCAATTCACTACTGTTAGACATCTAGGACTTTAATATTACTTCATAATTATAAATAGAGGGATAAATACAACTTAGTTTTATATCTATCTGTAGCCTTAATTATTTCCTTCAGTTAAATTCCTAGAACACAAAGGAGGTACAAACAGAAAGGAAGACCAGAATCTTTTACAGCGGAAGTTGCAACAAGTTCACATTTTCCTCATCTACTGTGGTGAACAGGATAAGGAGAGGTCTCAAAAACAGAGAATATTCATTTTAATTATCTCCGCCCATTACCACCACTCCCCCAACCATAAACTCATTTATAAAAAATAGGAACAAAGATCAACCTGAGTCTCCTATCATTCTTATACTCTCCTCTTTCTTGCCATTGAACAACAGAATTGTGTGTTATCATCAGGTCTTGTCCCAGTTCTTAAGGTCTTTGAGCATTTTACTCTCTCCTGGATTATAAAAATGATACATATGTATAGGGTTAGGCCATCCATGCTCAACAATTCACATGCCAGTGAGACTGCAAAACATGGCCAGAGGTTGTAGAACAGGCAGTTATACATGACCTGCTAGGAATCTCATTCAGTGGATTATAAAATGTGTTAGAAGACAAATTCCATAATAATGGTGGCAATTATATCTGGAATGCTTTATAGTTTGCAGGATTCTTCATATGCATTATCTAATTCAACTTATTTAATCACAGAAAGATTTGGCTCAGTAAAATCAAATGATTTGTCCAAAGCCATCCAGCTGGCAAGGACAAGAGTAAGATTTGGAACCCACAACTGTATTTCTCTTGGTGTTTTGTTTTTGGTGGTGGTGGTAGTACTGGGCTTTGAATTCAGGGCTTCACACTTACTAGACAGATGCTCTACCACTTGAGCCTCACTCCCAGTCCTCTTTGCTCTGGCTGTTTTTCAGATAGGGTCTCCCACTTTTTGCCTGGGGTTGGCCTAAGACTGCGATCCTCCTATCTACACCTCACTTAGCTGGGAACACAGGCATTGCTGCCACCCCAGCCTTGTTTGCTGAGATGGGGTCTTGCTAACTTTTGCCCTTGACTGGCCTTGAACCATGATCCTCCCACTCTCCACCTTCCAAGGAATTGAAATTAGAGGCATGCACCATAATACCTAGTATGCTAAGAACCATATTCTGATGAAGAAACTTTACTACTTCTTTTCTGGTATGAGAATTTCCTTTTTCCTTTAAATGTTAACATGTACTTGAATCAGGTAGTAGCACACTGTATTCCCATCACTCGAGGAATAAGGCAGGAGAATTAAGAGTTCAAGATCAGCTTAGATACACAGCAAGACTCTGTCTCAAGAAAGTAAAGTTAAATTTGAAAAAGCTGGGCATAGCACCTCATACCCGTAATCCCACCTACTTGGGAGGTGAAGATTGAAAGAATCGTGGTTTGAAGCCAGCCTGGGCAACAAGTTAGTGAGACCCACATCTCAATAAACAATCCAGATGTGATGGTACATGCCTATAATCCCAGCTTTGAGGGCGTTCACAGGTAGGACGATCAAAGCCTGAGGTTGGTCCAGTGAAAAAATGCAAGACCCTACTTCAAAGGTAACCCAAAGCAAAAGGGCTAGTGATGTGGCTCAAGTGGCAGAGAGCATTCCTAGCAAGTGAAACCCTGAATTTAAACCCCAGTACTGCCCATCCCCTCCAAAAAGTAACAGGTACTTTATAAAAGTATTAACTGTATAATACCTAATGGATTTCTGTGGTCACTTTTATGAAAAAAAATTGATGAAGTAATATATTAATCATCTTTCACATTAAATTAACAGTTCCTCTGATGATTTTCCCTCCTATGGTGCCAGGAATGGAACCCAGAGCCTTGCTCACTCTAGGCAAACTATACCCCCAGTCTCCTGTGGTGATGTCAATACAAGAGAACATGAACTATTACACATTTAAAATGTAAAGCCAGTAACCTTCCAACATGTTTAAAATTCACCTTAAGGACTGTGATAAAATAAGACTCAATTCTTCTTTTAACACTCCTATATCCTAATCTAGCAAATGTAACAAACTGGCCACTTCTGTGCCTTAATGTCAGTTCATTTGCTGGGAAGAGAGATTTAAGTATACAGGCTACAGACACCACTAGAATATAAAGTACATACACACACAAAGAGTGACAGTCAACCATTCCAGGTTCAAAATGTCAGGTAATTAATACAATGTTTAACTCATACAATAATTATGCTAATACATTTCCAACAACAAAGTATCTTCAGGCTAATTATTGTTCCAATTTTCTAAGCAAATGGACGATAGAGCAATGCATTCTGCCAGTCACTGGAAACCAAAAGAAAGCACAAGTGCATGCTTCCCAATTACAGATGATCAAACAAGTGCCAACACCATGAAAAGATCTAATACATTTCTCAGAGTGTAGAGCAACTAATTCTGGTTTTAAAACTATCGGAGCAAATAACTTAAGTCTCTAGTTTAAAAACACTTCCCTCTTCCAGTACTTCCAAAAAACAAAAAACAAGAAACCACTGCCCTCATTCTGGTACATTCTCCTTCTCCTCTCTTAAACTCCTCTGTTGTAAGCCTGCACTTGTCCTCCAGAAGTCCTGCCTAGAATCTCAAGGATGGATTAAGTGTATCGTCTTCTTAGCTCTAGGCATAATCCTTTGAAAGGCTGTGTTACTTGTTAGATGCTCTACAAATTTGTTGAATACACAATTATGATTATATGAAGATTTTTACTCTCTTAAAAAACAGGAATAAAATATTAAAATAAATAAAATACTAAAGTTATAACAAGGAATGCTAGACTTTAAAATGGCCTTTTTTTTTGTGGTACTGAGGTTTGAACTCAGGGCCTCATGTTTGCTAGGCAGGTGCTCTACCACTTAAATCACTCCACCAGACCTGGCTTACTTTTTACTTACGTTGACTCATTGTTATTTTTATTACTATCAATTAAATAGAACCTAGATAAAAAGTTATAGAAATCAGATTTTGAGTAAAAATGAAAATAATGTAAATCTTAACTATGATAGTCCTCCTTTCTCCCAATCTCATCTCTCTGGGGTAACTACTCTTGACAGTTTAGAGAACATCTTTCAGACTTTTAATTAGGTTGATTTTGAAAAGGATGTATGTACAGAACACAGAATGCTGACAGTTTGTTAGTCTCTTACATAGCTAAACAGTCTTACCATCTGATTCAGCAACCCCTACTCCTAGGCATGTGCCCAAATGAGGTCAAACCTTATGTCTTCACAAAAACCTGCACACAAATGTTAGAGCAGTCTACTCATAATTTCTAAAAACTGGAAGCAGTCATGATGTCCTTCAATAGATGAATGGATAAACTGTGGTAGATCTGTAACTGGAATATTATCATTCAGTGATAAAAAGAAATGATCCACCAAGCCACAAAAAACCAGAGAAACCTTAAATTCATAGTGCAAAGTGAAAGCAGTCCAAAAAGGCTATGTACTATATGATTCTACCTACATGACATCATGGAAGAGGTAGAGACAGTAGGAAAAGGGGAGGGAAAAAAAAAAATCAATGATTGCCAAGGAGTTAGGGAGAAGAATGAATAGGTAAGTGTAGAGGATTTTTATGGCACTGAAACTATTCTGTAAGAAGCTGCATAATAATATGTCATTATGTATTTGTCAAAATCCACACACAACACAAAGAATGAACCTTAACGCAAATATGAAGTATACAGTAAATAATATTAATATTGGTTCAATAACTGCAAGAAATGCACCATACTAATGTCAAGATGTTAATCAAAGGCACAATGGTATGCAGGCTGGAGGTGGATAAACTTAACTATACATTATCTGCTCACTTATTATGTAAATCTAAAACTGCACTAAAAATTAAGTCTATTAATGAAAACACATCCAAAATTACTTTAAAAGAATACACATGTTTTACGACAAATTTCTGAGTCAACACAAATATACTGTGTTTCAACTTAATAGAATCAAAGTGAAGACACAAGACACAAGGATGGAGGACACCTGGTTTTTTTTTCCAGAGGGCTCAGGGAAAAAAAAAAAAAGCCCCAGATAATTGGAGGATGTGAACAATCAT